GCTGGCAAGCAAGGGGTTGTTGGCTGTGCTGTGTAAAGTTTTCGAGTCAAAAACTGCTTGACAGTTGCGGTAACTTTCAGGATACACAAACAAGATGCAGAGCAGCCACGATAATTCTGTCCAAGCTGCTCCCAGAATTGCCTGGCACTTTCAATACTGGGTTGCTCAGACGCATCGTGGCAAATCGCAGCGTAGAGGTCGAGCAGGTAGGGCTCCGCATTCTGATGCATGGATTTCAAGCTTCTTTTGCTTTGCTGATGTCGGTCACATGGCACAGCCCTGAGAATGCAATCAAGAAAACCGGTGAACATTCCTGGAAGAAGCTCCATCCGGAGCCTCAAAGATCGCAGCGTAACCAGCTAGCTCCAAAGCAGCCGCATGCTGTAGATTGTCTCGTTCACGTTGAGGTACCTCCTGCACATGGCAGCATGCTGTATGTTCATCTTTCATCATTGCCCAGCAAGGTTCTGGAAACCAAACGTAGGGGCAACAACCAAGGCCATGCCCACGTATGCAATATGGAAATGCTGACTGCGCACTGACACCCTTGGGGGAAACAAGCCTTGTCCTAGAGTCCTAGGGTCCTCATGCCCGCATGCATTTGAATTTGAAGCTTGGCCGGCCTACTCTGATGTTGCGACTTTTGGGGCATGCTGGACAGCTCAGCAAGAAGCATTGTGTTCATTGCACAAGCAGAGCACTGCAGGCTGGACAAATTATTGATTAAACCAAGCCACAGCAAGTGCAAGGCTGGTCCGAGCATTTGCCATGGCAGAGCGAGGAGGCGGGTGAAACACGCTATGAGCCATGTGGCGCAACATTTCAACAGGTTTCATGCTCTGCCCCGTCTTAGTGTTAAGGCTGTTAAGGCATTGCCCAATGCCTTGCGGTTGGGCTTCAGCCGGATCATGCACCTGCGTGCATCAACTTAGCAAGGATTTCTGGATCCCAGGTGAATGCTTCGGCCACAAGACCTGCTGGCCACCAGGGGGAACTCATAGTCGGCCGGCATGAAGTTCTGGAGAAACAAATGATCAATTCCTCAAGGACAATGGACTTGAAGCTTGTTCTGGATCAACTACATTCTCTGACCATTATAACCAAGTACTGGCTATGCGCCAAACACTCATTTACCACAACAAGAACCATCAGCGCAAACCCTACTTACTGGTTCTTAGTAGGGAATAAGGGAAGATACTAAATAGAATTAACTATGTGCTATATAGGGATTTTACTCCTATATATTCCTCACGAATCCTCAACCCTAAACCTATGATATGGGGATTATATAGGGATTGTATTCCGTCATTCCCCACTAAGAGCCAGCAAAGCCAAGTCTGCTGCTCAAGGTGGCGACCACCTCGTGAGAACCTGCTCTGCTTGTCAACTCCTCAGGTTCTTTCAGGACTATGAAGGGGTAATGTATCAGGTAGTTTTACTTTGTACCCTCAGGGTTTGCGTCCCTAAACCATGGAACATGGTCCTTAATAAGGGTAGTTGGGACCCAAAACCTAGGTTTACAAACATTAAGGGTACAAACTTAAAGTCTTTGAATGTAGGGATAAAAAAGGGTCTAAGGGAAGATGTTGGGGCTAAGTGTGAGGCCTGGTTTTGGGGTTTACGGTAATTCATTATATTGAGGTTTGCTTACTGGTTCTCAAAGTCTCAGTAGGAGATAAGGGAAGGGGTTAGTAGCTAGTACGGAACGAGGGACTACATAGGGTTTAGAGGCTCCAGGCTTGATTCTACATGGGAATATATTGGGGTTATACAGGAATAAAGGAAAAGGATACTATTTTTTTACAGGTGGGCCATAATCTAAGCTCCCGAAAAGGTTCATATAGGGGACTACTACGATGGGGTATGAAGGGGGATGCTAGGAGTTTAGACTATGGCTCATATGGCTACAGGTCATGGCTTTTGGCTGATGGAAGAGGGGGGCACTTGCACGAGCTCGGGAACGGAAGCTTCACAAGAGTGTGCAGCCTGCTTGTTCACGGTGATGCGCTGAAGATGCAGCATGACTCTGCTGAGCACAACTGCCCTTCGTCCTGAACTTGCGCCACGGCTACTCGCAGCGAGTCCACCTGCTACGTCGAGTGGCTTGTTTCTTGAATCATGCATCGAATCATGCATCTTGAGGTGGAGGGTCTATGCGTATGTAGGCCCCCCGGTGCTGGCCCGTATGAAGACATTTCACTGCCACGACTGCGAGTTTTGACGCAGCCGTCAATGACAAAGTTGCCCTCTAGCCATCACCGGTATATACCGGTATGGTTTTATTGAAGGTACGTGCCTGAACTAGATCTGCTCGCAACCGCTCCAGCTCCACCCCGACGTTGTACCGGTCACCTGGCGATTGGCTGCTTCAAGCAAGTCTCTGTGGCAAAACGGTGGCACCTGATGGGAGCGCGTGCACGAACATGTAGCATGGCATGGCCAAATCATACTACTGATTGACACCGTGATGCGCAAGCACGTAAACCCTCTCTACAAGATCAAGCACGAGCAGATTCGCTTGCGGCAGCAGTAGCCACTTCGGCGTGCAAATTGGCATCCGCGACCTGGCAGTGCAAAGCGATTCAATATCGCAAAGCGATTCAATATCGTGGCTGCGTCCATTGTCCACCAAACTCTTTTATCCAAACTGCCGACGGCTTGAGTTTTGCTGCTTCTGCTCATCACGATCACTGCAACCACAGGCCCAGCCGGTCCGATTGCAGTGGTCAGGGAAGGACCGAGGATGAATAGCAGCATCAACTATGTTGTTCTTGAAGTTCGGGTGAACCACAGAATCCGAGTTTAGCCGGAAAGATCTCAAAGAACAGTCTGTGGTTCAAGACTGCTTGATTCAAGCCGCAATGACCGTTTCATAGAAATCCAAAAGTCTTTGCCGTCGTGGAATTTTGCAGCAGTATCGAGTACCAAGAGCCCATACCTCGAAAAGGCCAGCAAGGAAAAACAATTGAAGTCACCCACGTGGGCCAACTGCAAGAAGTGTTTGCACGCTCTTCTGAGTGCCTTTTTGCAGTAAGAATGCAACGAAGCTCCCGAACAATAACGCCCCGAGAACTCAACGTCGAGTTCGTTTGCCAGGCTAAAGCCGCGGTGGGTTTTTCTTGCTCTGCATTCTGGCGTCTAGAAGAGACACTGCTTGAGTAGATTTAAACCCCTGACCGATTTTCCCTGCGTACATGTAATGGGGCCTGCGACATTTGACCTCTTTGCAAAGGCTTGGACAGAAAAATCTGAGTGCAGAATCCATCAAGTAAGTCTATCACAAGATTATGACAAAACCAGCATTTTGTATTCACGTCTCCTCGCCTCCTTGTGCCACGGCCACTACCGCAACAACTGCCAAAGGAACCCAAAGTACTGCTGCATTGACGTTGTTTGCGACTGCTTTGAATATTTCGTTTTTCTTCACTCACTTCTGGTTCTATGTGCCGTGATATTCCAAGGATTTTGCTCCTGTTTTGCGTGCTGCCCTAGTCACTAGTCCCTCACATTTTGCGGCGGACTCAAATTTTAGTCTCAACACGGCAGTCTGTACGAGCAATTATTAGTTGCATCGTGCCAGAGTATGCATTGGCCTTGAAATCCTTCTCGAGCTGCTCCTGCACCTGCGTGACCAACAGCAGAACTCAGTGGACCGTCAAGGCTGCAAACTGCTTCTCTTGCCATGGCGGATGAATGAAGCTCCCTTCAGGGCCCTAAGTTTGCAGAGCAATTTACACTTCCAAGTGTTCGGCATTCCTAACTCCCTTGGAAAGCAAATGAGATCATGCTGGGAAACTAGTCTAGACATACAAAAGCGCAAGCAGAAATGCCTTTTCGTCCTGCTTTTGGGATAGAAAAGAAATGCCGGCAGCCATTGATGCAGAACATCGTGCCATCGCTACAGCAGGCGCGTTATATGACCGGAAACATGTGGCCCAAACTACGAAGCACAGCCCAAAAGCTCGACCTGAATTGAAAGGCTGCCAGCTCATCCTGACGTCTGACATGTTGTCCAATTTGATATACCATGGAAGCTTGTTATTTTCATCTAATTCAGCAAAACGTACACGCAAAATGTTCAACAGCAACTTAGACATCAAGATGTCCCCAGGTCAGTTGCGGCGGCCTCCGTGATTCGCATGGATAGATGGGCGTCCACCTGTTGATGCTGTGCTGATGCTGCTTGGCATTGTGCCACATCATGCATTCAAGAACTAGGGCTTAGCAAAGGGAGCGGCATACAGCCATCATGCCAAGTGTTGTTCAATTTTAACGCTCAAACCCAGGAGAGCAACTGCGGAACAGGCTGCTAGAGCAACAGCGTGGAAACATATTGGAATTTTGCTAGGCCGAAATAGATACCAAAAGCAACAAACATTGGAACCTGCCCCTTAACAGCCTGTTATAAACTCTTTCCATTGTATTCTAAATTTGTAGGGGTATATCCCTGAGCTACCCTAAACTTCCCTAAACCTTTGGCCCGTCGCCTCGCGTCTCTGGTCTTCAATTGCGCTGCACGCCTGTTTTGTGAGGTATTCAATGCTGCTTCCTAAAAGCAGGTATGGTACTAACGAGAGTAAAGCTAATGAGGTATTGCAGTCATAGTACTAATGACGAAAAGATTTGTAATAGCTTGTTTTCTGCAATCGGTCTCTGCCTACGGTTATGCGTAGGCCTGTTCTTTCATAATCTTTGTGTTCCCTTA